ATTCCCCTGTACACGCGCGAGCTCACAAACCACGCGGCCGACCCGTCCGACGAGGGCACCGTCTGGTTCGACGACGCTGACGCCGAGGCCCGCGTGCTCGCCTACCTCGAGGCCCTCCCCGAAGCGGCCCCCTTCGACCACGACCTGCGCCAGGCCGACGCCGCGTTCCTCGACCTCGGCTGCGGCAACGGCAGCCTGCTGTTCGCGCTGCGCGACGACGGCTGGGCCGGCCGCATGCTGTGCGTCGACTACAGCGAGCGCAGCGTCGCGCTGGCGCGGCAGATTGCCGCGGCGAGGCGGGCGGCGCAGGAGGACGAGGACACGGATGCGGCCGGGGGTGAGGGCGGGGGCGGGGGCGAGGACAGGGATGCCGACGGCGAGGGCGAGGCGCAGATTGGGTTTGCAGAGTGGGATGTGCTGCGCGGGGACTTTGGCGCCGTGCTCGACGGCCCGCAGCGCGAGGGGTGGTCTGTCGTGCTGGACAAGGGCACCTTTGACGCCGTGTGCCTCTCTGGCGAGCAGGATGCCGCGACGGGGAGGCGCGTCAGCGAGGGCTACCGCGCGCGGGTGCTCGCGCTCGTCAAGGAGGGCGGCCTGTTTCTCGTGACGAGCTGCAACTGGACCGAGGACGAGCTGAGGGCGTGGTTCGAAGGGGCTGGCGACGGCGGCGCCGCGGGCAAGCTCGTCATGGTCGGACGGGTCGCATATCCGAGCTTCCAGTTTGGCGGCGCCAAGGGGCAGGCTATCAGCACGGTCGCCTTTCAGAGGCAGAGGGCCTGACAAGGAAAACGAGAAGATCAGGCAGGGAGCGGGAGAGAGGTCCATCAACTTAGCAAAAGCATCTTGTTCATACACCCTTTCATGCTACCATCACTTTCCATTCGTTGTGTGAAGACTGCTCAGCTACTTCGAATGATACACCGTGTCTTCCGCAGAAACGCAAACGATACCAAACAGTCATCGCTTGGTACCAGGACTCTCTCTTCGAATTGGCACCTGCCGCCGCCTGTATCACATCTTGTCTAGCACTCAGCCTCCCCTCTCCATGCTTTTTCTGCTCCCCTGTTCTGGCTTCGTGTTTTTTTCCACCCGATCGCCCTGTCTAGTGCTGTTAGACCGTTGTTATTGCCATTGCCTCATGAGCCGGCGAGGTATCTCTGCCTCGCCGGCGACGAACGGAAAAAAAGGTATGTCGAGTCGAAAGTGGGAATTGCTTCATTACGTCTCTCATCTCATCTATGGTGATGTGTTCATCGGCTCGCCGCTCGCCGCCGCACCCGTCACGCTGTTGGCAGCTGTCGTGGCGAAAAAGCGAACATCCACATCGTCGTCCTTCTGCAGCTTCTCCAGCTTGGGCAGAATCCTTGACTGAATGAGCTCCATGCCGCGCGGCGAGGGCGTGAAGCTGGCGCCCTCCTTCTCCAGCGCATAAATGGTGCCCTCCTCAGGCAAGCGACGCAGCACGTCAATGAGGACTCCGTACGTCTTGGCTACGTTGAAGCGAATGTTGGGAATGTCGTCTTCGGCAAGCTTGTCGAGGAGCTGGGGCAGGATGCTCTTCGCAATGACGTCCATGCTGACAACCGAGGCGAGCGTCTACACACCGTTAGCAACAACGACCGACACGCACAAAGTCTCGTGTAGCAAAAGTCAACTCACAGTAATGGCGAAGCAGGTGGTCATCCTGTAGAGATAATTGGGGTGGTTGCCCATGGCCATGACCTTCGGAATGATAGCCTCGTTGGCCCACTCAACACCAAAGACCTCGGTCAACTTCTTCAGGTTGTGCGTAGCGGCCTCTCGGATAGAGAAGACCGTATCGCCCAGCCAGCCCATGCAAAGGTTAGCCAGCTTCTCGTCGAAGAACTTGACACCAAGCTGGCTGGCCAGGAGCGGAATGTATTCGATGATGGCCAGACGAACGCGCCATTGCTTGTCTTCGGCCAGCTGGATGATAGCCGGGAGCAGCGACTGCGAGAGCAGCTCAATGCCGATAACTTCACACGCTGTTAGCCTCTTTGTCCGCCTTCATTGTCCGCAGAATGTACATACCCTGGTTGACAAGCTCGAGCTTGGAAATGATGTGCAGGCGGACCTCAGGGAACTCATCCTTGAGCATCTGGAGGAACATGGGGAGCAAGTGGTCAATAGTCCTGCGCCTGTTAGCAGAGGGCAAGGGATAAAGCTCGGGGCAACAACGTACTCCTGCTTGCCAAGAATAGGAGCGAGGCCGCTGATCTGCGTACCAAGCGCAGCCCGGACGTGCTGGGAGGTGTCGGAAACGAGATCTTCGATGCTGCCCATGATGTCATTGAGCAGGACATTGCGATCAATGAGAGCGCAGAAGCCGGGTATTTGGCCAGCGATGGCGGTCCTGACTTCGGCCTCGGTATCCTTGAGCATCTTGACGAAGGCAGGGACGAGGTCTCTGGAAAGAACCTCATCGTCGACAGCCTTGGCAATCTGTTCCAAAACGTTAAAACAAACGCTTCTTGTTGGACTGCAAAATTTTGACACTCACCTGTTCAAAGCGGTCGGCAATCATATAGCGTACCCTCCAGCTCTTGTCCTCAATCAAGCTACGCAGAAGAGCGAGGAGAACGCCGTGGCTGGATTGCTGCTCCTTGGGAACAACCTCAGCGATGGAAGCCAAAATCTCGATGGTCAACAGCCGGACACTATCCTGGTCATCCTGGGCGAGGTGCTGGAAAAGAGGCATCATCTCCTCGATGACAACGTCGGCGGGCATCTCCTTGACAAACTTGGCCATGTTGGTGGCGGCCTGACGACGGACCATGGGTGTCTCGTCATGAACAAGCTGACCGAACGCCTTTCGCAAATCTTCCTGGGTGCCGGCAGACACCTTACTGTAAGGAGCCGTGTAGAGGCCGCAGCCGGACACCTTGGAGGTGAACCAATCGGCCTTGGAGAGGCGGAATGTGAGGGGGATGAAGTACTCTTCGACTTGCTTGGGGGAGAGTTCGTTGCAGATCTTGTTGAGGGACTCGACAGCCTGTTCATTGTTTAGTCAAGCTTGGTTCGCCGGACGAACGAGGGAAATCTGCCTACCTTGTCACGCACGACGGGCTCCTCTATCGCGGCAAGGTTCTCGAGAGGGGACAGGAGGACGTGACCAAAGTCAGGACCTCCGACATACTCGATAAAGCTGCCGAGCTCCTCGCTGAGAGCAACGAGAACCTCGTCCTCGTCCTCGACAGACTCTAGACTGCTGTTAGAAGAAGGAGGAGGGGCACCGAAAGGTTTGAGGGGCTCGCTGAGCAACTAACCATCGAGAAAAGGAATCAGCTCATCGCGAGTGCGCTCGGCGCCGAGAGCGAGGGCGATAGTGGAGAGACGGTGAATGGCATTGAGACGGAGAAGAACATCGTCGTGCTGGAAGGCAAAGTCAACAAATGATCGTGCCAGTGATGCTATCCGCGCGGGCAAGTTGGGCTCTGGTGCCTACCTTGAGCTCGTCGATGAGGACGGCGATGGGGTAGAGCTCGTCGGTGGCATTCGGCGCGTCTGCCATGGCGAGCGATGTGGAGGAATGCGCGTCTATGTGTGAATGGAGGGGATAGTGTTGTAAATGCACAGGTCGTCTGTCGTCGGCTGGGCGATCAGGAGGGATCGCGTGCGTGTGATGCAATGGGGGGGCGGGTTGTTGGTTGGATAGCGTGGTGTGTGGTGGTGGTGGTGGGTTTGGTGCGGGCGGCGGTTTGGGCAGGCGGCGAGGGAACCAACGGCGGGCTGCGGTTGTTGGCTGGCTGGGTGTGGGATCGGTGAATGAGCCCGATCGGATGCAGGAGAATGGTTGACGGAGGTTGCGAGCAAAAGGCCGACCTGTGCCAGAATGGGAGATGGGTATGGAGTGGGCAAGGTCAGCTGGAGAGCGGGCGCACGAGGGTGTGGGTGATGGTGATGGTCAAAGATGGGGGCAGAAGGCAGAGCAGAGGGATGGCAATGGCAATCCGTTGTTTCTGACGACGAGGTTCAGGTTCGCACCCGGGTCCCACCCACCCACTCGAGCCACCTCAGGCGAAGCTTTGTTGCTCAATGACGGGCCAAGGTCGTGGTACCTACGCGGTACGTATCTCTCTGCCCAGTACGTAGGTACCTACCTGACCTACCTTAGGTACCTAGGTAGCGCCTGCTCCCTCTCCTCTCTGCGTCCCTCCCACCTCGTCTCCTCATCTCTTGGGCGTTGGGCCCCCTGAAATTACAGCGCGCCTACCCCGCTGGTGCAGGAGGACGGCAGAGAGCAAGTGGCTGGTGTGTGCCCTGCTGGAGCCACACCTGGTGCACGAGCCACGAAGCTGTGCAGTCGCTGCCGCTTTAACAAATGGCTGGTACCACCTAGCCATGCCTAAGGTAATTGTAAGGTGCCCTGCGCAAGGCGCGTTAAGTGGTGCTGTTCCTGACCCCTCCTCAGGCACCCACCAGACCATCCGTGAGCCCTCTCTGCCCCTCCAACCCCTCCTCTTAGAGCAGCGTCAAACTTTTACCGCCCCCCGGGTTTCGGACGGCGGCTTCACCACGACCCCCCCAAAATTTCCTGTGACTCAAGGACACTCCCAAGCCGGTGCATACACGATCCCCGGCGGCCTGGCATAGACCTACACTTGCAATTGACCACGGCCTATCCAACACGCAAACGCCACCATGCCGACCATCACCGTCAACAAGTACGACCTGTACAAGGCCTTGGGACAGAAGTGAGTTGCGCCTCACCCCCTCCTCTCCGCGGCTGACCAGGACCCTGTGTCTTGATCATCTCGACCCCACCATCCGTGACCCCGTATCGCAACATCGCCGAAGCTTCTCCTCCCAAACCCATGCCGAAAGCTGACTCTTGGAACCTTGCCTAGCTTCACCACAGAGGAGTTCGAGGACCTCTGCTTCGAGTTCGGCATTGAGCTTGACGAGGATACCGAAAATGACGACCGACCCATCGTCGATGGCGTCCAGGCGCCCCCCGAGTTGAAGATCGAGATCCCCGCCAACCGCTACGACATGCTGTGTTTTGAGGGTATTGCGCTCATGCTGAACATTTTCCGGGAGAAGACGCCCTCCCCAAACTACAAGCTCGTGGAACCCAAGAACCCCGAACTCTCCGTCATCAACGTCCACCCCGATACCGCCAAGGTCCGCCCTCTCGTCGCCGGCGCCATCCTGAGGAACATCAAGTTCACCCAGGAGAGCTACAACTCCTTCATCTCCCTGCAAGATAAGCTGCACATGAACCTCGCGAGGCAAAGGACGTTGGTGTCTATCGGCACCCACGATCTCGACACGATAGAAGGTCCATTCACGTACGAGGCGCTGCCTCCCAAGGACATCAAGTTCAAGCCCCTGAACCAGACCAAGGAGATGGACGGCGAAGAGCTGATGAAGTTCTACGAAGCGGACAAGCACCTCGGCAAATACCTTCACATCATTCGCGACGCGCCCGTGTACCCCGTCATCTTCGACAAGAACCGTACCGTCTGCTCGTTGCCGCCCATCATCAACGGCGAACACTCCAAGATCAGCGTCAACACCAAGAACGTCTTCATCGAGATCACCGCCACCGATGCCACCAAGCTGCAGGTCGTCTGCGACATGATGGTGACAATGTTCTCCGGAAACTGCGCCGAGCCCTTCACCGTCGAGCCCGTCAAGATTGTCTCCGACCACAACCAGCAGACGAGGACGACGCCTTCTCTCGCCCTGAGGACGATGGACGTGGAGATTGACTACCTCAACGCCTGCACCGGTCTCAACGAGGCCCCCGAGAAGCTGTGCCAGCTGCTCTCCAAGATGGCCTACATCGCCAAGCCTTCGTCCAAAGACAGCAACATTCTCGAGGTCTCCATCCCCGTGACCCGCGCCGACGTGCTGCACCAGTGCGACGTCATGGAGGACCTCGCCATCTGCCACGGCTACAACAACCTGCCCCGATCCACCCCCAACAAGAGCGCCACCATTGGCGCGCCCCTCCCCATCAACAAGCTCAGCGACATCATCCGCACCGAGGCCGCCATGTCCGGCTGGAGCGAGGTCATGCCCCTCATCCTCTGCGCCCACGACGAGAACTTTGCCTGGCTCAACCGCAAGGACGACGGCACAACAGCCGTCCGCCTCGCCAACCCCAAGACGGCCGAGTACCAGGTCGTCCGCACCACCCTCCTCCCCGGCCTCCTCAAGACGATCCGCGAGAACAAGGGCCACAGCGTGCCCCTCAAGATCTTCGAGGTCGCCGACGTCGTCTTCAAGGACGAGACCCAGGAGCGCAGGGCCCGCAACGAGCGCCACTTTGCCGCCGCCTGGTACGGCAAGACGTCGGGCTTCGAGGTCGTCCACGGCCTCCTCGACCGCGTCCTCCTCATGCTGCGCACCGCCTTTGTCGCCCGCGACGAGGGCCTCGCTGCCAAGAAGGGTGTCGATCCCACCCCGCAGGACGGCTACTGGATCGAGGAGGTCGACGAGCCCACCTTCTTCGCCGGCCACGCCGCTGGCGTCTACCTCCGCGTCGCCGGCAAGGAGCACCGCATTGGCGAGTTTGGCATCCTGCACCCGACTGTGCTGGACAAGTTTGACCTGAAGTGAGTTTGCCTTTTTCCCCTGCTTTCCTCTTTTCCTCTTCTTGCATGGTTCCTTTTCTTGCATGGTTGCGCGGAACACTTTTGCTGACCCCTGCCAGATACCCCGTGAGCACTCTTGAGATCAACCTCGAGGTCTTTTTGTAGAGATGAGACGATGGGATGTGGGACGTGGACATGATGACGCGGGATGCACAAAATAGAACGCCAGGTAGATGAATGAACAAACAAGTTAAAACCTCTCAAAATTTAGAGAGCTGGCCAAGCATATCTTCACACTGTTGTGGCACCCATGGATCGAATGAACGAATGTCTTATCATGATGGTCATTGTGATGCGTGGCGTCAATGAAGCGCGCATCGATGACGCCCGCCTATGGAAGCTGAATCCAACCCAGTTCGTAGCAAATGTCAACCCACCACCTCTTCACGCGAATCCTCGCCACTGGTAGCAATACCAAAATAAGTCCTGAACGCCATTCTCCATGTGCTTCTACTGAAGTCTTTAGTAATAAACGACCGAACCATCCGGGCCTGCGTGGCACGCAGAGCTAGGCCACCAGCCCCTGCATGACCCCCAAAAAATTGTAGACGAAGCAAAAAGCAAAAGTTGGACAAAACAGCCATGCCCCTACGTGGTAGTACTTTTGACGAGGCCTGGCTTGTGGCGACGTATTGTGATGCTTGCCTGCAAACCAGCCAGCTGCGCATCACAGAGGCTGATACTGTCGGACAACTCAATCAAGAGACACCCCGTTGTCTCGAGATGGCAAATCCTCCCCGGAAGACACGAGAAAGTTACCGGACAAAGTGCTGATGCCTGACTGATCCATCTGCAATCTGGAGACTTGAAGGGAGGAGACCCCATCACCACTGCTGAAATAGCCGGCGCCAACATCTACATCCGAGGACGATGGGGGGCGCGAGTTGTCGGGTGAGTTGGGTAGACTGGTAATGTTAAAGTCGATCTCGCCTTGCGTTCCCCACCCTGACGTGCCGTGTGCGTACTCCCATATGTGGGAGGAGGCTGTGGTGGCCTCGGTGCACGAGCACTTGTCGTCCAAAAGGTCGCGCGGGTGATTGAGGAGCTCGTAGGGCGCTTCGTGCATTCGCTCGAACATGACGCCCTACGTCAGGCTATGCAGTTCCTGCTCGGTGCGCGTCGCCGTCGCCGTCGATGGGCCCGGTGATGTGCCGCGGTTGCCCAAGTTGCTTAGGGCATTCATGCCCCTGCCAATGTTGCCAGCGATGCCACTGCGAATGGCCGAAAACGCGTTACCGTTGGCGCCCTCAGCAGAGGCACTTCTGTGCAGAGCACGGGGCTCTGGCGTCAGAGTCGTATGAGCGGTCTCAACCGCGCTGAGGACCGACTGGCTGGTGGGGAGCCCAGGAGGTTTGGGGCTATCACTTTTAGGAGGCGTACTTGGTTGGCTCTGAGCGTAAGACATCTCGGTCGATGGCTGAAAGTTGGCCATTGCTGAAGCCTTTGACTGCTGAGCAGCAGCGGCAGCATTCAGGTCGCCATTCATCTCCTCGTCGGTCCGGTTGAACGACTGGTGCCACCAGCGGATGTTGTCCAGGACGGGCAAAATGATGCGCTCAAGGCCCTTGGTATGATCATCCACAGTGGGGTTGTAGGCTTTGTTGGTGAACTCAGCTTTCCTCGAGAGAAAATAACCCCAAACCGACGAAGTCTTGTGTGACAAGTCAACATCATGGCGCTGCTTCTCCGAGTTGTACAGAAAGGTGCCGTACTGGCACGAGTAGAGATGGTACAGCAAACGGCGAAGGAACCGCTCGTTGAATTCGAAACGGTCGGGGTTTTGGCGCAGCAGCTGGTAGACACAGTCAAGGAACTGGTGGAAAACGGGACTGATCATCTTAGGATCAGTCGCCTCGCCATTTGCGACAGTGCCAGTAGAACCTTCAAGCGCCGTGTCGAGCTCGGCTGCATCATCCTTGTTCTGGTTGAAAAAGCGGCGCGCGCTAGCAATTGCGCTCTGGAAAGCATCACCCCTGCCGTCATTCTCGCCAGGCTGAACCGTAGCGCCTGCCATGGCGTCTCTTTGAATTTGGAAGTTGCTTTCATGATTGAGATGTCCTGATCGCAAGCGGAACATGTGGCCGAAGGAGAGCCAGTCCTTCTCGATGAGAACGATAAAGCCCTCGATGGAACGGTAATAAGGGTCAAGCATCAGCTGGCTAAGCGCGCTGAGCTGGCTTGTCCGATCCCACCCGTCGGAGCAGTGGATTAGAACGTGGGAATGGAAAATTCCAATCTGTCTCGTGATGAGGCTCGCACCCTGGAGAACGGCCCTGGTGTGCTTAAGCCAGCCACTGTTCGCCAGCAGTTCACGATTCGGAGGAAGTGGTGAAATGTCAGCATCCTTGATGGCTTCGACGACCTTGTTAAGAGAATTACGCATGATGTGGATGTTTTCGATGCTAAGGAAAACCTTCCGTGATCCTGGGTAGCGATCCATCGGCTCCGATCCCATGCCTTGGACCTGATTGACCATGGCGTTGACGGTTGGCCGTGCATCGACAATGAGATTACTTTGTTGAGCGCCGTATATGAGGCGCTGACCTGTCTTCTCATCGTACATATTCGGTGTGTTGGCAAGGAAGCTGTCTTCGAAACGCTCCGAGTCGGTCAACTGAGCCTCGATGGCATCTATTTGACTTGGCGGGGGAGGAAGGTCCCCTTCATTGTAAGGTGGTGAAGCTGAAAAACAGGCTGCAACGAGTTTTTCGTCCTGGATGTTGTTCTTTCGAGTGATACCAGATAGTGGTTGAGAACTGCGTGTAATTGTGCAGTTGTTGACAGGGTGAATATAGGAAAGCGCCGGGATGCGGCACCTAGAGCGATAGTCCTTTGCGTATTTGAGGACATTGTCAGATATAGAAGAGGGAACAACCAGCATGGCGGGGTAGGTGTCGCAAAAACTATAGTCTTTGTTGATCCAGGTAATGCGCCAACCCTTGTCTGTCGACTTTTCACTAATGCCCTGCCTTCGAAACTCTGCTTTGGCATCGTACATTTCCCACCCATTGACGGACTGCTCATGTTTGGAAGGTTTGTGGCTAAACGCGTAGAGCTTTTGGACAGTTCCCAACTTGCAGGTCCTGACCTTGACGAAATCGAAGACTTCGCGCGCGATCTTGTCGTCCATGAAATTGAAGGCGACGTAAATGAAATCACGTCCTTTGAGGCGAATAGAACTTGGAATGCCGGATGTTGGTGGTGTTGGACGCAGGGTGAACTGCGATATCATTGTGAAGCTGATCCATGATTCACGAGTCTTTGGGGCGCTAGTAGTGGTCGTCGAGTCGGGTGTATCCTTGGGTTCCGGGACAGGAGCGCAGAAGACAAGATGAAAGTCAGTCAGTCTGAGGGTGCCCGTTGTCGTGAGACCGCCGTTGATGCACTGCACCTCGGGGATCACCTGCAAGACGCGGTCAGATCACGGCAAGCTTGATGTGAAGGATAGAATTCGTATTGCGTACCTTCCTCGCCTCCATTTCGTCTTTTGCAACTCCACAAAGCAAGTTGTGTAACAGGTCCTCCGCGTCGTATTATGTAAAGAGGAATGCTTCAGAACAAGTGTTCCCAGAAAAGATTCGAGAGTTGGCGTCGGTGAATCCGAGACTGCCCCAGGCGCATGGTAGACGGGGGAGTAAGGTACGTGTACTCGGAAGATGCGGAGCTACGTCTGTCGGAGACGGAGGTAAATGAGGTAGCGCAGAGTGATAGATGCCCCTGAAGCAGGCAGATAAGAATCCAGAAGGGGATCTGTTGTTATTTATTGTGTGCAGTAGGACAAACACGCGGCGAGCAGGTTGTCATGGCATGTGAAGCTCCAAATTGCTCGCAGCTGTCGTGGTGATGATTGAAGCTGGCCTTGCGTCACAGGTTTGGTTTGGTCGACTGACATCCTAGCGGGGTCCGAATGGGCAGGGTGTGCTCGGAAGCCTCGCTGCTTTTACCGTGTGCTAAGCCTCAGGCGGTCTGGAATCTTAAGTTGATATTTGTGGCGCAGTACATTCTTCTCAGCCACACTCGGACTTCTCTATTGAAAGCAGATATCAACTGTGGAATATTTGATCACCCTGCTCATTCCACCGCTCTGACATTGTGTCAGGAGCCTTTGAGAGACAAACGGGTGGCAGCGGGGCGCCTGTTCCCAGACAGAATATTTACGGAGAAAAGGACGAGCGTCGGAGAATACTCATAAAGAGAGCCGTCAGCTCATGGTTGACTAATATCTACATATATACACATGGTCGATTTCCCTACATATTTCTTTTGCTACTAGAGTCGAGGCTCTCTGAAGTCTTCAGTGTGCTGGATCCGAGGTTTCTTGTTAACTCCGCCTTGCTGGCCGAACATAACACGAGATATTATCCTTGATGGTCGAAAGCTTGCCTAAGTTTGTGACAACTATGACCTTGATCCCTATCTTCGCGTCGATCTTTTTCGGACCCCGCCATGCTAAAGAAAATGCCGCCACCGAGCTGCCTAGTCGGCTGACATGGCCCAATGTCTAACGGGAGAGGCTGTTCGCTGTATTGCAGAGGCTGCGGCCTATGGTATAGAATCATGAGATACCTTCAGAGAGGGTTTTGTCTGGCTAAAAATGTGCGCAGATTCCACAATGAAAGCAATGCCCCAGCATACTATAGGTCTTCGAACCAGGTCGCTACTCATGTGCCGGCTTTCTAGCATTCGGATTGTTGGGTGGCCTGTTGGCCAGTCTCTGATGCGACGTGAAGCAGCAGCTTACGTGCCTAAGGGAGTTAAGCCCTCGACAAGACTACTGCAAAAGCGATTCCAAGCCAGATACAAAACTATGAGAACCTATCTGGTAATTTCACAGGATCACGGCAAACCCCACGACAAGTTTACCACGTACCGGGTTCACAACCAACGCAACCTGGACCTCTCGATCCGAGGGCGGGGGCGCCTTGAGGCATTCTCAGTTGTTCCTAACACCATATGCTGTGCGTGGCCTTCTGATCAACTTACAGTCCCAAAAGTCTTGACCATAAAACCGGCTAGAAAAACTTAAGTCAAGTTGAATGGGGCGTGGCTGAGCCTGGTTAGAATTCGTGAAGCAGAAGAGACCGTACCAAGCAGTATGCGACTGGTGTAGTCGATGCTCGCCTCCAAAACCCCCACCTCGAATATCGAGATCAGTCGGAATCGGTTCCGCACACCTGACTGAGGCGCACGGACCACCAAACAGCAAACCGTGGAGGCCCCACCAATGTCCCTCTGCTCCTGCCTCCCAGACTCTGACAACGAATGGCCGGTCGCACGGGCCACTCCGCTTAGGGCTTTCAATTTTCTACCCACCAAATTCTGAGCCCAGCACTGGCGACACCTGTGTCTGAACAACCTCGACTCGACCGACCACCCGCCTCTAACGACCGCATCATCGCCCTCTCGATTCTTCCCTTACGTCCCATTCTCCGAACCCCACGAGACTCCGGACACAGAAGACAAGATGGCTGCTCCCGGCACTCAGATGTAAGCTTTGCTATCCTGCCTGTCTTGCATCCCATGCCACCACCCCGCGTCTGGGCCTTGGGATCACGAACTTTTTTTCCCCTCCCGTTTGTGTGTTTCCTGCGGTGTCCTGGCTCAATGCGATTTTGGGCTCCTCCAAAAAAGAGAGAATAAGAAAATCATCGACCAAGAACAACGTTGCTGACTCTTCTTCTCCTTCTCTAGCTCCAAGCGCAGAAAGTTCGTGGCTGATGGCGTCTTCTACGCCGAGCTGAACGAGTTCTTCCAGCGCGAGCTGGCCGAGGAGGGCTACTCGGGCGTCGAGGTCCGCGTCACCCCCACCGTCACCGACATTATCATCCGCGCGACGCACACCCAGGAGGTTCTCGGCGAGCAGGGCCGCCGCATCCGCGAGCTCACCTCGCTCATCCAGAAGCGCTTCAAGTTCCCCGAGAACAGCGTCTCCCTGTACGCCGCCAAGGTCCAGAACCGTGGTCTCTCCGCCGTCGCCCAGTGCGAGTCCCTCCGCTACAAGCTCCTCAACGGCCTCGCCGTCCGCCGCGCCTGCTACGGTGTCCTCCGCTTCATCATGGAGTCGGGCGCCAAGGGTTGCGAGGTCGTCGTCTCCGGCAAGCTCCGCGCCGCCCGCGCCAAGTCCATGAAGTTCACCGACGGCTTCATGATCCACTCCGGCCAGCCCGCCAAGGACTTCATCGACCACGCCACCCGCCACGTCCTGCTGCGCCAGGGCGTCCTCGGCATCAAGGTCAAGATCATGCGCGGCTCCGACCCCGAGGGCAAGTCCGGCCCCCAGAAGTCCCTCCCCGACGCCGTCACCATCATCGAGCCCAAGGAGGAGCAGTCCGTCGTCCAGCCCATGAGCCAGGACTACGGCGCCAAGGCTGCCGCCGCCCAGGCCCAGGCCGAGGCCGCGCGGGCCGAGGAGCAGCAGGAGGGTGGCGAGGAGGCGGCGCCCGCTGAGCAGCAGTAGGAGGCTTCTGATCGTGGCGAGCAGCAGCCGCACCAGACGCCCGCCGACGCCGTCGCCTCTGACCTCCCCGACGTCCGCTTCTCCGAATCCGAACTCCTGGCCACGCGCCAATACGACTTCACTCGGGCATTCGGGTTCTGAGCAGCTGGGCATACGGGAATCGAAGAGCAACGGCTCGGAGGGGCGCCTGATGCACCACCCTATTTTTTTTTTTAGTTCCCCCCCCCCGAAAGAGGGGAAAAAAAGAGAAAAGGGTAAAGCACGGAAAGGAGGGCTGGTTTCATTACCAACAAAGGCGTCTTGATCATTTGCATCACACTGCGGCAAAGGGATTTTTCCGGAAAACGTCTGGTTGCGCCTGGCTTGTAATGATGACACAAGTTAAAGAAGCAACGAGAGATATTTTTGACCAAACTTGTTCGTTTCCCCGTGATATTTGCCTGTTGTGATGAACTGCCGAGTCTTGTGTCACGCCTACCCCGGAAATCGACGTCTTCACGGAGGATCGGACAGGCCATCGCATTCTGAGCTCGTCGGAGCTGGTCATGTAACATTCATCATGTTGAGGCTGCTCTTCTATGACTGTCGTGCCGCCGTGTGCCTCCAACGGCCGGGGTGGAACAGGAGAGGCCTACCCGTCCCGGCGGTGGCACCCCCCTCTGCTCCGTTTCTCCCCTTCGTCTTAACCCTCCTCCACCCCGCACAACCACCTCCCGATCTGATCGTACAGCGGACTCGCTCCCGAAGGTTGATGCTATGTGCAAAAAAATAAAAATAAAATCCCCACCATGTATGTCATGACGGACGCGCAAACGAAGTGTAAAAAAACATCAAATAGAGCGAACACGTAGCAAATCCATCCCGATAAAGTAAAAAAAAAAACGCCGATAAATCCCGCCCCCCCCATTTCCTTATTTTGGAAATACGCGCTGCCCCCCCCGATGATCAAGGGGCGCACAGTCTGCCGGGGGCGCGCCTTCGTTGGTGTTCCCCCGCGCCGACGGGTCATTCGTCTCGTGGAACTCTCTGTGTGTGTGTGTACGGGGAGCACCTGTCGTTCGTCTTCAGTTATGTGTGTCTCATGAGTCCCTGACCCCCTTCCCTGTGCTGCGGCCACCGCAAGGAGAAATAGAAAGGTCTTCATTCATTCGGCTCCTTGCCCCCGGGCCTTGGTCCATGGAATAAAAAAATGTACAGTGACCCCCGTACCCTGTCACGTATGATACGTGTACAGGGTGGGATGGGGTCGGCGATGCGTCGAGAGGTAAAGACAAGCGGCCGCCGTTCGAGCCTGAGGGCGAGGCCGGGCTCGTGCTCAATGTGTCATGCAATTCAGGTAAATCGACGGTCTCGGTCGGGTGCAATTTTTATCGGTCGTGTGACCTCTGAGGCTGCATCTCAATCTCGTTATGGCCTCTTGACTTGCCGTTGGCGTTGGTGTTGCCGTTGACGCGGCCCGTCTGCGAGTCGTCGTCGCTGTCTTCGGCCAGGTCGGTGAGGCCAAACTCGGCACCCGCCTCCTCGTCGTAGGCCCGCATCAGGCCCGTCGTGTCGCCGTGGTGGCTACTCATGCTGTGCCGGGGATCCGTGCTCCTCCTGGCCTGCAGACTGAGACGGGTCTGTATGCTCGAGACCATGTCGGTACCGGTGGCGTCGGGGCCGCCGCGGCCAGAGACCATCTTCTGGCCGTGGGGGTCCGACCTCGAGAGGTTCAGCAGGTAAACGCCGGCAAATGTTGTCAGGAATCCGCTGAGGAGGGAGAGTGTGTTGACAACGTCGGTCGTGTTGAAGCCGCTGAAGAGGATAAAAGAGGCGCAGAGGGTAAAGGTCGTGAAGGTAACGTAGTAGAGGGGGTTGACGCTGCGCCAAACCTGTCAGTCAAAGTTACGAGCACCAGAGCGCATTCCAACTCACATATTGGTGGGGAAGTGAGCAAGCGCCTTGTTGAAGTAGTTCATCTGGGTCAAGATGCAGACGGTGGTCAAGATCATGAAGACGTAGGTCGAGGGGTGTGAGAACTGATTATGGCCGGCAAAGGTGAGCTTCAGGGCAATGCCAAAGGCCTTGACCGACATGACCGAGACGGAGCCGACGGTCGAGCAGATGAGGAGGTAGATGAGGGGGCTCTTCCTTCCGTAGACGGGAGCAACCTTGTAAATCATGACGATGGCGAAGACGCTGACGGCGAAAACGTAGAACAGGAAACCTGGCGCAACACGATGAGCGCCTGGACACACAAGGAAAAACACACTATTCTGGAAGCAAAGTGGGAGAACCTACCGGGCTGGATGGCATAGTGCAGAATCTGGTCTATGGTCTGGATGTCCTCATCAGGCGGGGCGTGCAGAACGATAATAACGGCACCGAGAAGACAGATGGCGCTTCCCAGCCTGCCCAAAATGCCGAGCTGCTCGTTGAGGAAGTAGGATCCGAGGACGGCTCCGATCAGGACAGACAGGGCGCCGAGGGGCGTGACGAGAATGGCTGGCGCAAAGGCGTAGGCGGCAAAGTTGCAAATCTCTCCAAGAACCACTACAAGGCTGAGTTAGCTCAGCTCAATGCAGCTTCGCCAGCAGCGCGTGCGACGGCGGAGGGGAGAGGCTCAGTCATGTGGGTGTTGCGTACGTGTCGAAATTCCCGCCCACCATATCGGGCTCTTCAAGTAGACGTAGCCATCACCTTCGAAGCCGTGTCGTTCTTCCGCATGCATGAGTCCCTGGAGAGTCGACATGTCAGTCACGTCGGGTCGGAATGGCGTCGATTTCGGCTTTGCTGTGCGACGCAGCAGCAGCCGGACGCACGCTGGTCTGGCCGAATAAATACCTTTTTCGTGATCACAAAGCTAACACCTGCGAGGATACGAGGTCAGCGAGCTGTCCGTCAAAGACGTCAAGATAAGAAAGCAGCGAGACGCATACCAATTGCCAAACTGGATGCTATGGCTAGCGCCAGGCCAATGTACCTAAAGAACCGCAGTCGTGTCAGCGCAACCTGTCCCCTCGAGCCTCGTGTTTCGCTGCCGCCAAAAATAGGTGGGTCGCAAAGAAAACGCACTTCTCTTCCAGCATCATGATGAAGGGTGTCGGCCGCGGTCCTGAGACGGCGGAAAAGAGTGTCGCGCGTGGGCGCAGGTATCGTCAGTCGAGAAGCAAACGAGCGTCGTGTGTCATCAAACGCAGAGCGAACAGTGGCGCTGGCAACGGAGTGATTCGAGAGTCGTTTTTTAAAAGGGGATGGCCGGTCGTGCTGGGCGGTTCGGTGCTAGTGCATGGATCGTGCTTCCAGGTCCAGAGCTCGCGGAGGGGGTTCGATGATGAGAGACGGAGAGACAGACTCGGTCAATGATGGCGCGCAGAGAGATTGACAATGCTGGGTGTCGTGATCGGCGCAAATGCCCTCGGGGCTGGTGATTTCGTTTCGCGGTCGTTGGTTGGGAGGGGAGGAAGGATGTTTCGTGGGTTTGGATTTTCGAGGACAAGGCAGAGAGACAGACGGACAGGGACTGAGTTAGTGCCAGTGGTGGACGGACCAGCGACCTTGGAGAGTCCGGGCAGACAGGCAGGCCACACAGGCCACACAGGCCCGAAGCTAGGTACCTGCCCACCTCTACCAAGGTACCCAGGTGGGCAGGTACTGCTCGGAGGACCTGGCCAGGGGGGAGGATCCCCCCCCAGCTCCCCAGGTCACAGGTAACAGGCGAATGGGCGGGAAGCGCTACGTAGCGTGATCCTGAACCAGTGGCTTCGCCAGTTTCAGAGCCAACCCCTGGCTACACGCAGCGACCCCCCTGGCTTGGTAGCATCCACAGCACTCAGGTACAGCCTCACTAACCCCCCCTCCCCCCCCCCCCCCAAAGAACCCGCTGACCTCAGCGTTCTCTCACACACTGTATTCCGACAGGAGCCCACCGACCAAAATTACAGTGTGAACAGGACTCCGCTTGAAATGGCGAGATGCTCAGCTAGGAAACTCCCAAGCTGATCACGGTTCCCTGTGGCTAGTGAGTGGGCCCACCCCTGAATCTACATGCAGCATTCTGCCGAACCTGGCTTCATCTACCCTTTCCCCCCTCGGTCCTCTGACGCGCCGCCGCCCCCTGGAACCGTCGTCGTCTTTTCATTGCTACTGGATCTGCGCGCAGAATGAGAGGCAAGGTCGTCGCTGACACGGCGCACAGGCCGGACTCGGCTACGGTACCCGCGGGCAAGACCAGGGCTAGGTGCCTAGGTAGGTAGGTACATATAAGTAAGTACCTAGAGAACGCGATCGAGTGCGTTGGGCGAGAGAACCGATCGTATCCCTCTCCCCACCCTCTTTTGTGATGCATCGAAAGCCTAAAAAGACGAAGGAAAAAAAAAGTCTCCTATCCGTAAATCCAAACGCAAACGCAAACAAATGTGGGTGCACATCCCTGGAAACGATCCCTATCCCGCTCCCTGCCACGAAGCCATCCGAGAACCTACCATGTACCATGCACACCAACCAACCAACCACCCGCCCACCTGCATCTCGTCTCTTTCTCGCGTAGTCCCATTTGACCAGCCGCCTGAGATGGCGGGTAGCTCTCCAGCTGTCCTGTCCACCGCACAACACGATATGGTTCGCAATAGCCCCCCCCCATCCCTTGTGGATCCGATACGAATCGCCATCGGCGCAGCACCAAACGCGTCCACACCGCACCGCACCCGGGCTCCCTCGCTCATTGTTTTCGCCTAAAACACACGTCACCTCTCGTGGCCTTTTACCTAAGCTAATTGGACTGGGCCCGCGCCGAGGCCAGCATTAGAAACATGTGTCCCAGCGCCCCCAGCAGTCCTCGTCTAGGTCATCTGCGTGCCATCGATGCCGTGACAAATCCCTTGTCATCCACCCTGACAGAACAAACCTTGACAGGACAAGTAAACTCTTTTTTCCTTCAGATTCAATTCAATAAAGCATAGCTACTTCCAAGCATCGTGGTTGCCTCTTCATGCATCCACAAACCCGTTGACCGAGCCTGTGGAAAGGGATGGGAGATGATCAACAACTCGGCATCCCTTTATCATGCTGACAGGTGCCCCCTCCTGCTGTTTACTGCTTACTTGCTGTCTCTCTTCCAAATTGCCCAAGATCTCCTGTAGGCGTCCCAGCTGGTGAGTGCTCTCTCAACCAATGGCTACACGCCGCCAACTCGTGAGCCAATCCGAAGTCACAAAAAGCTATCGTACAAGTGTGGTCACGGCAAGCGTCGAGACCACCGCGCTTTTCTGTTCCGGAGTCCCATGACGTTCTCTCCAATCCGCCCCTTACAATTAAGCCATCCTGCGCCATACGCCATTGAATCTTGAAAACATTGGCAAGTACCAAGGGGTATGATGCTGATGAACGGAATCACTTAAACAGGCACACCGCAGACAATGTCGTCCATTTGGGTTGCACGCCAGGTGGTCCTTTAAAGGACGCCGAGCTTCAGGTCATAGCTGTGTGATTAGTTCGTCAAAGTGTTCAAGGACCCTACCTTTTACGTATCCTCTCTTTCTTCCTTCCCTATACGCCTCGCGTTTGAATGCTGGGGCAGGGTGAATCAAAATAATAGTTGGTGTTCCGGGCGGATTCGGACACATGCCCCGGGCGATGACATCGCTTTCATAGGACGTTGGCTGTCGCATACAGTGTCATTTCGCGCCTCTCTGTGCTGGACCGGGCAAAAGTGTTGAAGGTTAGTGAAAAGAAAAAGGGGGAAATGTCAGGTCAAGACCGAAGACGTTTTGCGTCTGTCAAGAAGTTAGCATAGGCGTCAAGTCTTGTCAGAAGAAGCAATCGTACCTTGCTCGTCCTCGGCACCTAGCAGGTCGTCCTCGTCAGTCCTGGGTCGTTTTCCAGAGACTGATGTGGACTCGTGGGAAACCTCATCATCGCCGTCCCCGGGAAAATCTCGCCAGTCAATCTCTTCGAGATCATTGGGGCCGTGCTCAGAGTTTCCATTGATTGTCTCTCCATCTTGTGGTATGTCGGCTGTCAGGTCGATCTCGGCGCCGAGATCATCTACCTCGTCGCCGTCTAGAGTCGCGGTCGCGCTGGTAACCGGGGTCCCCTGGTTGACGACAGACAAATCCACGCCAGTTTCATCTGGGTCCAGGTCTAACTGTTCATCATTGTCTGCGTATCCAGTTGTCTGTTGCTGCTCATTCAAATCATTGTTGCTTGCTTCTGCAGCGAGTAAAGGGTTGAACCCGTCGCTAAGAAGAGGTGCTTCAAGAAGATTGTTAGTATACGAAGTAGTGGAATAGGAAGTGCTCATATCGGAGAGGGTACGTAGGTGTCGGGGAAGGGGCCCATTGGATAGGTACGAATTGAACAGCGGGCCGGGTCGTTCGACTTCGGTCTGGGCTGGGCATCGCGCCAAATGACCTCGGGCAAGACACTCCAAGCGAAAACTTCTTTCTTCGCGTTGCCGCTCTTCGAGCGCCCCAAGAAGGCAATCCGAACATAGACAGAAGTCGGGGGAGGAACAAGGGTGTGAAGAAAATGTGGTGGAAATACCATTCAGTTCGGTCGCCTGTTGGCCGTCACCATCGATCGCCTCAGGCATTTGAATGGACGCATTCACGTCTTCCAATACTGCAGCCGTGGTGACAGGTTCGTCGAGCTCCGCGAGCACAGTGGCATCCGGGTCTGGTACCGTGTCGAGTTCGCCCAAGGCAGCAACGTCATCCAGCATCGAGGCGTCTGCTGCACCGGCATCGATGTCTGCTTCGTCTACAGCCGTGACGGATGTCAATGTGTCCGTCTCAAGGGGCGCAATTTGTTCAGATTCTTGAAGAGCAGCCACGTCGTCAGCCGCGTCGACCGTGAGGTCAAGCTCATTGGCGTCGAGGGTAGTCGTGCCTTCGTCAGCATCGTTGGTCAACTCAGGATCGTCCCGACCTTCATCGGCAGAGTCAGGTAGCTCATGGTCTGCTTCGTTGTCCTGCTCAACCAGGTCATCAAAATCCCCGCCCATGTCGTCATCAAGGTCGTCCTGGTTGAGGAACATCTCAGCGTCCTCGGCCTCCACCTCAGCTTCCTCGATGGCCTCTTGATCTCGTGAGTGGAACGAGTAGCTGACTTCGTCGATGTTCTTCCCGTTCCATGCATCTTCTATTAGGGAAGACCACCGCTTGCTACAATTTGGGCGTGTGATCAAAAGCGCGTACATCGGCCTCGTTGCTTCCGGGTCCTTATTTTTCACAAGGTGATCGAAGACCTGGAGGATGCTCCCGAGCGTAATCTCAGAGAAATGGTCGGGATGGCTTGACTGGTGGATGGTTAGCTGTGAGGTACACACATGAGTGAGGAATCATCCTACCTCTGCAAATTCGAGTCCTAGCTCTTCCACTTGCAAGACGAGCTCTTCAGACTCTGCAACGTCGTCCACCAGAACTCGTCGCAAGCTTGCCAACAGCTCCTCCATCTTGCACTGCAAGACGCTTAGATCATGAAAGAAGCAGTCTCGACCTTCACTTCCCACAGAATTGTAGAACATGGGGTACTCCACACCATGCCACGAGACGGTGACGACCGGCATCTGCGCATCTTCCTCGCCAGGGGTGTCAAGGGAGGCAGCAGATGAATCGGCAATCAGGGCCTCGGCATTTGTGCTCGGGTCGGCGCCTGATTCGTCCTCGTGACCTTCCTCTTCGTCATCAAGGAGTGCCTCGTGTGAGGCGTCTTCTTCGACAGAAGAAGGCTCAGGCACCTCCTGCGCCAACGCAACATTCTCTTCCGTTTCATGCTCCAGCTCTTCATCTGCATGCTGGCCTTCAAGGTCTCTCTCTGTAGTCTCGGCTGTCATCCCGCCATCATCCTCGTAATCAATCTCGTTCAGGTCACCGTTCTCTTGCACAGACTGGTCCAGAGCACTGACGGCACCGTCGATAGCGGACGCTGTCTCTGCGCCCTGGTCTTGTGCTATATGGCTCTGGGCATCCGTAAAGGTGTTCGCGAGCTGGCCATCAGCAATAGCATGGTACTGCTCAGCATCCTCCTGATACTGCTGGTCTTGAGCGGCGAGGGCATCGTCTTGCTGCATCGACTCATCTTGTTCGTCATGTTGTTCGCCCTCCCAACTAATCTCGTTCTCGACCAGGCCATCTTCGGCAGTGTGGGCAGCTTGCGCCACAGAATCTGGGTCGTTGTGTTGGATGCCGTCGGCAAGAACAGCATCGCTTTGGGGCAGTGATTCAGCCCCCGTGGTCGCCACGTCAGGGGCATCGTGTAGGTCTTCGGCGAGTAACTCTGCGACGCCAGCAGAGTCACCGTGTGCGCTTTCGGAAGTCTCGACAGCGGGCTTTGCCGACTCGAAATAAGATGTTGAATCTGCGTTGGGCTTGATAGGGGAGGTATCAGGCTCGTCGTCGGAATAATCGATATATTCAGCTTCGTCCGGGTGGGCAAGGCCTACCGGCGATGCCAGGTCGGTTGCCATTTGTTTGGCTATGAGCCCCGAGGCTCGACTGTCGTGGCTGCCTGGTGCCTCTAATCAACTATTTGTGCAGCGACGATAGATCGAGACAAAAGATATTGCCTCGATCCTAAGATGCTGCGAGGATTTGCAGTTTGTGTTCCGGCTTGTAGTGGCCCGTTCGTGATCGCTGGAATTCGATAGAAAGCCCTTGTGGGCTGGCGCGAGACAGGGGCGGCAAGTTTGTGTTGGACAGGTTTCGGTTTCTCTCGCAGAGTTGAATGACGGGAAGCTTCGTTGGTACCTAAGGTAGGCCGGGTATTCGATTATCGAGATGGCCAAAACGGGAAGTCGATGGCGAGAAGTTGAGTCTTCTTGGCAATCAGGGTGCTGGAACGCGCTGATTCTGCTAGGCAGCTTCAGAGACGAGACCCAGAGCTGGTGTGACACGTGGGGAAAGGCCGTGCAAGTTTGCGGCGAGCGTGATGATATCAGGCAGAAGACGCAGGCGTGCCTGGGTGCGACGTTGATGAGGTTGTCAGTTGCGGCGCGCCGGGAAATGATGCAAGGAAAATGAAAAGGTTAGGAGGCGCTGGCGGGCCCCTCTTTGCAGGGTACCGACCTGGGTACCTGTGGGTACCTGTGTGTGAGAAGGTACGTACCGGCGACGTCGAGCTGGGTCGCCCTTGAGGCTGTCTGCCTGTCTGCCTGTCTGCCACCTGTCATTTGGCAGCTAGCACCTGTCAGCTGGCAGCTGCCACTTGCAAGTAAGTGGCAGCATGTACATGTGGAGCACCACCTCCTGAGCCTGAGGTGACTTGGTCTGTGCATTGACCAGATTCCACACATCCAAATTCCGAGCTGTGAGGTCCCTCCTTGAGCCGCCTTGGGCATTGCGATAGTACTTCGACCCTCGCGACTTTCACCATACATCCGCTACATCACTCGCCCTTCATCAATCATGGTAGGTCTCTGCTCGAGCCATTCGCCGCTTCTCCTCCCCTCCCAAGTGCTGACTGCATCCAGGTCGTCCTCGCAGCCTCCATCTGTACCCGCGGCGGGAAAGCTGTCCTCTCCCGCCAGTTCAGGGAGATGCCACGATCGCGCATCGAGGGACTTCTCGCCTCCTTTCCCAAGCTCGCCGACTCCGGAACCCAGCACACCACCGTCGAGCAGGACAATGTTCGATTCGTGTACCAGCCGCTGGACGAGCTCTACATGGTCCTCATCACGAACCGCCAGTCCAACATTCTGCAGGACATTGACTCTCTGCACCTCTTCGCCCAGGTTGTCACCAGCACATGCCGAACCCTCGACGAGCGCGAGATTCTGAAGAACGCCTACGAGCTGCTCAGTGCCTTTGATGAGCTCGTGACACTGGGCTACAGGGAGAACCTCACCATCAGCCAGATTAAGACCTTCCTGGAGATGGAGAGTCACGAGGAGCGGATCCAGGAGATCATCGCGAGGGTGCGTCGGTTGGCTGGTGTGGGTCTGACCGCCACAATGCTAACCAAAATCCCTAGAACAAAGAGCTCGAGGCCACCGAGGAACGCAAGCGCAAGGCGAAGCAGCTCGAGATGCAGCGCAAGGAGACGGCGAGGACGGGCCGCGCCGGCGGCGGCATGCCCAGGACCCCTGTGTACCCGACCTACACCCCACCTGCTCGCCCGACGACGACCGACACGTACGACTCGTACGAGGCCGAGAAGAACAAGACGTTCAACAAGGCGAACGCCCCCAAGGGCAAGGGCATGCAGCTGGGCAAGAAGTCCAAGACGACCGACATGTTCGAGCGCGTGCGCGGCGAGATGGGTGCCGAGGTCGAGGACAGCCCCCTGATCGTGCCTGTCGTGCAACACGCCGCCGCCGAGCCCGCGGCGGAGCGCGCGTCCACAACCATGGACCGGGACGCGATCCACGTCACCGTCACGGAAGCCATCAGCGCGAAGCTGTCCCGCGAGGGCGCCCTCAACTCCCTCTCCATCAGCGGTGATCTCACCCTCCGCATCTCAGATCCCAGCCTCACCAAGGTCAAGCTCAACCTCCAAGCCACACCGACCCAGGGCGCCCAGTTCAGGACGCACCCCAACGTCAACCGCAACCTGTTCAACGACTCCAAGGTCATCCAGATGAGCAACGCCGCGCGCGGCTTCCCCGTCAACAACGCCGTCGGCGTCCTGAGGTGGCGTGCCACGCCCAAGGCCGACGACCCCAGCGCCTGCCCCATCACATTTACCGTCTGGATCAACAACGACGGCGGCAAGTACAACCTCACCGTCGAGTACGAGCTGACGGGCGGCGACCCTCTCACCGACGTCAGCGTCGTCATCCCTTACCAGGCGAGCGAGCCCGTCGTGTCAAGCTTCGATGCCGCATACGACGTCTCTGGCGACTCGGTTGAGTGGAACATTGGCAGCGTGACGGATGAGAACCCCAGCGGCTCCTTTGAGTTTGAGGCCGAGACGAACGACGAGAACGACTTCTTCCCCATGACGGTCCGGTTCTCCAAGACAACGCCCTATGTGGATGTGGACGTAAGTGACGACCCTGTTCCTCTCTCTGATTTCTAGAAGCCAGATCTAATGCTGTACAGGTAACGACTGTTTCGTTGCTGGACGAAAACGAAGACGTAACGTTCTCCAAGGAGATCAAGTCGGTTGCGGACAACTTTGTCATTGAGTAAAGAAGGGGGGGTTGGAAGCGAAAAATGCGCGGCGAGGCTATGAAGGGTGGCCCACGCCACGTGGGGGGCGTGCTAGACGTCGAGACTTGCATTTGATGAGGACTCGTCCCGCTGCTTGTGGCTGCCGGGGAGTAGAACGAATAAAGATGATGACGAGCCGCGTTACATGCTGCCAAGGCGTACGGTGCAGGAACTGGTGAGAGCCGCTTAGGCGTTCCGTAATGTGCTGTAGTCGCGCAATGTATGAGAGTCCGGATGAGCCTATGCGTCTGTGCTGTGGCCTGCAAGCATACTCTTGATCAGCCCATGGCAAGGTGCAAGTCGTTATGGCAATCTATGCATCCTTCTTGTTCGAATCAGCTGTTCCGGTGCTGTGCGGGGGGTATGAGCCCCTCGGCGGTTCTCGGGGGCCATGTACGTGTCAATGGACCTCGAAGATCCCAGCTGGAACCCTGAACTCTGGACAGGCATTGCATTTTGCTTTATATGGCCTCGGTGGACCTTTTGCCATCGAACGTCTTGTAAGATGTCTCTGAACAAGATCAACCCCAAGTCTCCCAGCCACGATCCTACAGGCGAGAAGAATTCTGACGGCAAGACGTGCTTTCGAGCATTGACGCCATTATGCTTCAGACTACCACCGTATTTTTGTCAACGGATGATTGGAGTGAACTTCCCTTCTCCGCCAGGTCGGCACCTTTGAAAGGTCAGAAAGATATTGACCACCATGGACCTATACGCCGTGAACGGAGACAGTCATTCCCTGCGGATGCTGCCAGGTTCGCCGGGTTCCAAATTAAAACGGGGTAGATGCCTTGACTTTCGGAATGATCTAACGGGCAGCCTAGAACCGGGCTGTTTGCTCGATTCTACACTGCTCGTCGAGGAATGCATGTGTCTCCGCCTGACGTCGTAGGGTATAGATAGCGCTTCTGACTACGCCGTGGAGGAGTGGTGTCCGGTCATCGGGCATGCAAGCCTCCATCTGACTGCCCGAGACTAAATTCGGTGCAGCAGCTGTGCCTGTAGTGGTCGTACTTGTATGGCTAAACGAAGACCGTATTGACCAGTGCGCCGGTCTTCGAGGACTGCGGTTTACTAGACTCATAGTCGGATACTATGCTCGTATCCCTCCGACTTGGGTATAGAATAAATCGCATCCTTCGCCTATAACGAGGTTGATGAGCGCGTCTGCTACCATGACATACAACAGGGCCTAGTGCCTTCTCCCGTCACAAAGGCAAGGTCAGATACCTTCTCATAGCCGATGACCAACTCGGCTGGTTTGCATGAGCTTGAAAAACACCCGTCTGGATCGTAGCACACCATCGAGAGAGCGGATATGCCCTTCTCGATCCCGCTGCACGTCGTGCATCATGCCTGACTGGAGACATCAGACATGGCCCACGCCCTTGGGAGACTTTTTCCTTGAAACACGAGCACTACTGCGCGTCTATGCCATGTCATCCAAACTAGACCGATCTACAAAACCAGGCCTGTCTGCTCTGGTTGGTAAAAAGAAAAAGATAAAAAGGTCAAAACTACATGACGGTGATCCGGCAACACGACTGATTGACGTGGACAAAATCCCGTGGTGACCTTGGCGTCTGCTCGTGCAAACATCCTGCATCGATAGACATTCCCAAAGTGCCATACACAGGCGAATGTGTCCAGAAAAGCCAAGGCGGGCGTGGCATCCAAACCCGAAATGTGACCCTGCCTGCTTGATCAAAGCAAGGTGGCTGTGAAGTCCTGGGCAATCATTTCTCCGTCGAGTCACCGACATGCAGATCAACCTCCAGACATGGGCATCAACAGAGGCATACAAGGTTTCTCCAAGCACAAAGTGGCTGCAAGGCCGAGAAAATCAGCGCCTCAAAGGGCGATAAGGAGTGATCGCGGCGTGCGTTGCACTTTGAGTATACAGTACATGCTCCTACGTAGGCTTACGAGCACTGACGTCCGAATTGGCTGCAGCACCCGGAGGCGAGGTCTCGACGGCTCACCAGAATACCGGCACATCGACGTCAAAACATGTTGAATACGTCCTATAGACTATCACACTACCACCGAGCCACCACAAAGAAATACCCCCTCAGAGCTTCGAAGACACAGTCAGCGATCCAGAGCAGCAGGTCCCCTTGGCGTCCCCCTTTGCGAACGCGTCCCGCGAGACGGAGTCGCCCAGGATGGCCGTCGGCGGGACCCAGAGCGCGGGGTTCTTCTCGAAGAAGTTGCTCGCCCTCAGCATGACGCTGACGGGCTCCGCCGGCATGACGGGGAAGTCCTCGGTTCGCGGGAAATGGGTCAGCCCGAACTGGATGTAGCAGACAATGTCCGTGTTGTCAATCGGCTCGTCACGCTCGACCCAGTCGAGCACAGCCTGGTTGTGGGCGTGTCCCAGCTCGCCCGTGGACTGGCACACGTAGTCGCCGGCCGGGAAGAGCTCGTGGTCGCGATAAGGGACGACCCAGAGCGACTCGCGGGCAAAGGCGGCGCGCTTCCAGACATGGCTGCCGGGCTTCGAGAGGAGAGCAGGGCAGTTGTTGTTGAGAATCTTGTAAGCGACCGGCTTCTTGCTCGAGGGGTTGAGGCGGTTCGGGTTCGTTATGTCCCAGGAGCGGCTCGTCTCGTGACAGTACGAGACGGCACCCTGCTTGGCCGTCAGGAGGGGCGTCTTCTTGCAGTAAAACCCGTTTCCATAGAGGTTGCCGGGGCTGCCGACAGGGTCGTCAGCGGGCACAGCATCACTCTGCACGACGGTGTTGCGAGGGCCGTCAATCTCGGGGTCGACGCGCAGCGAGAAGATGTGCTGATGGTTGTGAGCGTCGAGGCCAGGTGCCACCTCGGTGCCAAAGGGGGCGGCTGTCTCCGAAGGGTGCAGCAGATACGTGTTGAGCATGCCCGTCAGCTTCATCTCGAGCTTGTAGGTGCCATCAAGAGTAAAGGTGTGGTAGAAGGCATACTCGTAGTTGGCGGCCGTGATGATTTGCGAGACAATGAGTTTGCGATCACGAGCCGACGTGACGGTGCCGTCGCGATAGTCGGTATGCTTGTAGAGCAGGCCGTTATCCTCCTCGTGGACACAGACGGCGTTCTTGACGACGGCGGGCTCGCCCGAGCTGGTCGTCATGATGGCGTCGACGTAGTGGATGACGCCCTTGCAATCGCATCCCAGCTTCAGCGAGTTGGTCATGAGACCAGTGCCGTACTCGCCGACGTCAAAGGCGTGCTTCCGCTGATGAGGGGGGTTGGGGTTGCCATACGGGACGACCATCTCGACAACGCTGATGCGGTTGAAGAGGGCCCTGTCACGCTGCTCGACATGGTCATACATGCTGACGTCGGAGATGACGATGCCCTCGCGATAGTTGAAGCCAATGTGCATCTTGTAGCCGGCCCAGGAGAGCTCGCTTCCGTTCATGCTGAACGAGACGCCCTGGGGCTGGGTGATGTCAATGGGCTTGAGCTTGTCGTGAACAAACGTGTCGGCGACAAACTCGGGCAGGTAGTTGTGCTCGCGCAGGGGCACGGGCACACGCTTGCCGTCGACGTGACGAATGTCGACGGCGAGGACCTCCTCCCGCTCCGTGTCGACGACGACGCTAAAGTCGAGGGGATGGGCGTACTGGTTGTCGTTGGGCGAGTTGCGGTAGTAGACGATGCCCTGCTGGAGGCGGCGCTCCATGCCCCAGCGGTTGTCGAAACCGATGGCCCAGGCGTCGATGAAGACCTTGGCCATGTCGGTGATGCCGATTTCGCGGCACGCTTCAATGACACGGGGGTCGGCGATGGCAACGCGCTCGCAGACGTCGAGGTCCTCGAGGGTCAGGGTCGGTGCAACGTCGGCCACAGGCTTCCAGTTCTCGACCTCGAGCTTGGTCAGGTTCACGACGACCTCGGCGACGTCCGAAGTGCCCTTCTCGAGGACGATGGCGAAGGCACGACGGTCCGGGCGGGGCCCACGGCCGGCACGGAAGGCAGCATACTCGAGCTTTCTGGGCTCGTGGAGCGTCAGGCAGTTGAACTTGACGACCTTGGGGTCGGCATGTTGGCGGATGAGGTGAGCGGCGGCACGTATCTCTTCAATCGATAGCTGGTCTAAGGGATGGACTGAGCGGGCCTTGGACAAGTCGGGCGCGGCGTCGCTGGCCTCTTCCCGAAAGATTGTGTAACCTGCAATTGAAGATGTGTCGACAATCATTTTCAATTTCGTGTTTGCAGAAACCTGCCATAAGGTGGTTGTTCAAAACGGGATAATACCGTACGTATATCAGAAGAACGGGGGGGGGGAGGGGGGGACGACGAGGTGTAAGTGTCAAGAGAAAAGGCCACGAGTTGAAGCAAGCAATGTGACGATGACCCAGAAGGGCGCAGGATCCAGTCTGTCAATGAGGAGATGTTGGTCGGCTCTGGTCTCTGGAAAACCCGATTCAAGACGAAGCTGTTTCTTCGGGGAGAGGCTCTTATAGACTGGGCCCCCAAGGTGTTTCCGCCCCTCCTCTCCTCCCCTCCCCTCCCCTCCCCTCTGTTGCCTCTTTACATGTACGAGAGGAGCATGGTGTGATGAGCGGAGGGCCCCGGCCTCCCATAAGACCGAGCATGGTGAGATGCCCATACCTAACGCAATCCGTGACTGAGACGTAACGGGCCCGGGCCAATCGGTTGTGGTGAGGCGGCGTGGCCAGCGGCGTGGCCAGCGGCGAGCGATCGGGCGGAGCTGGTCATGGGAAACCAACTTGTCTCCCCGGAGCCTATGATGGAGGGGCAGGGGAAGGGGAAGGGGGGTTCACGTTGGGGCGCACAAGGAGACGAAGAGCAGAGGGCTGCATCAAGATGGCCGTGTCCAAATTCTTGCCCGAACAGGTATGGCGGCCACGGCAGGCGGATGCCACGGGCAGCACAATCTCAGCCCCGGACCGGGTGCTGAAGCGACCTGCCAGCTGACCCACGAGACGGTGCATGGCATACCTGCAGTCCGATGCCATTGATGCAGCTAT